TAACTGTGTTGTTTTGATCGGCTTGATTCCAGTAATACCTGCTATAAGAAAGCAATTTCAGTTAATGCTACGAATCTAAACCTAACTGCATATTATCAAATTCAAGCTCACTTATTCTTGAATCTGAGACTCAGGGATAAAACATATCACTGAAGATACTATGTTCCCACAGTGACTGACTACAGCTTCTGAGCTGCCTCTAAGAACCTGGGTAAACAAAATGGAGACTCATTATGTAGATGAACTATTTGAATGGTTTGTAGGCTAAATGCAAGCAAAGCCAAGCACTCAACAAAAATCAATAGCAGCCCTGAGAGGATTAGAGCCTTTTCTTCTTAGCATCATCACAAAAGACTAGGTCTGGGGAGTCCCGTTAAGCTATATAAACAGGGTTCTGTGAAATAAACAACCTATTTCATTTTAAGAATACAAAAATGATTCAACAGCTCCCTCTCCACCCCCCATCCCCTCTATCTCTTCCATTACAAATATCCTACCTCATAAAAACATCCTTGGAATTATAGTGTTCTTGCTGGCTGAATGTGCTTTCATTTTTTTTTTCTTAAAATTATTGCAGATCCATGTGTGTTCATGTTATGCCATTTTAATAGCAATTTAAGTTTATCTATGCCCATGTGTTCTAGCATGCGGCTTTATCCAGACCTGCATATCTCTATGACTAAGAATTCATTTCTGGTTTCTAACCTAAATTAATTCACGGACAGTTTATACCCAGTTAATCTTTTGCAAATGTTCTTTACTGTTCTTTTCATCCCTGCCCCACTGTATTTATAAACGCTAACCACAAGCCATTTCAGTCCTTTTTGATGGACTAAACCAAACTAAATCCTTTTAGTTTCCTCCAATTTAATAGGGCTTCGCAGTCCTCTGCGATCATCTTAAGATCATCTTGGTAGCCCTTTTCTGAACTTATTCAGCTTTATTTTCCTTACTTGAACATGAGTGATCAGAGCAGCACATCATGTTTCAGATGGGTTCCAAGAAGCTTTTCGTACTTCACTTCTGGAAGTATCTTGCGAGACTGCATTTCACCACACGAAGTGAACTCTCAGTCCACTGTGAACAATTAATATACTATACTTTTGTGTGTGTGTGTGTGTGTGCGCGCTTTACAAACCATGAGGCCTCACAAAACAAACTCACCAAAAATTTCTGCGAAGTAAAGAATCTGCCAGTGTTTATACTTAAGCTTCCATTACTCCATCTTCACTTCTTTATCTGTTCTGCGAGCTCCTCATTTTGCTATATTTTATTAACATTTACCTTTTTTTTTTCCTGTGCCAACATCATTACTGAACATATTAACAACTGACAATGTTGGTTTTAAAAACAATCCTTTTTGGAAACCTGTCACAAATCTCACTTCACATGGCAGCACAGCCTATTGTCATTTGCTCTTTACTCAAAATATTTGTTAAGCTATCAGATACATAAAATTCATACATGGTAAGCTATCAGATACATAAAATTCAAAAAAAAGGTAAGGTCTATCATGTTTCTGTGGTAGGGTATAGTAAAATATGTTCTTGGTAACATACTTAACTCCATGGCACTGATGATTCTGTTCTTCAGGACACTGCCATAACCCATTCTATGCCCATCATTCTTACGTACTAAAGATATCCGATGAATGGATATTATTCAGATAAATTCCTTTGTCTTTTTAAAATACAATTCATTGTATTTGCTGTCTTTCAGATCACAGTTTTTTTTTTTCTCACAACAGCTGGAGGCAAAACTTTTTTCCAAAGGATGGTGTGTTCTTATGCCAGGTCTTCTGGAATTCATTTTTGGAACCTTGTATCTTGAACTCATTAAGTTCTGACTTTTACTTTCACTTCAGATGTGGCTATTGCCACTTTTGTTAAACTCTTAATCTCAGCTTTTTTGAAGTATAAATCTTAAAGCTGCAGAAAAGCAGTGGTCAGAATATAACAGAGCACTTTTATTTTTATATTTGAGTCAAAAACGCAAGATTTTTTTCTATCAGTGCCTCACCATACATGTGGTGGAACAGGGGAGAACAAAAACTGCTGTAGACTAGTCAAGGTTCTGACATGTCCATTGTGACTGTCCCCTAGTTTTACATGTCAAACAGTAATGCAAAAAATGCATGTGTCCCTTCACAGGTATTTTTACTAGTTTCTGATGCATATATACAGTAGTACTACAAAACAATACAAAACAAAAAAAACCCAGTAACCTAAGAGTGACTTCCTGATGATTTTACACTCCCATCCAAAGAGGGGCTGCCAGAACACACAGGAGAGAAAATGAAACAAGTTCTTCTGGGATTAAAAAGAAAAATGTCCTTTAATTTCTGAATAATTTTGTCAGAATGAGTTCAACTGCTAGCTGCTCTTTGCAGAGAAATAAAGAGTTCCCACAGCTGATTATTCTGAACAGAAGCTGAACAGTGAAGAGTATTTTGTGCTCCCAGCTATACTCCTAGCACACATAGCACTTCAAGGTCAAGGACCTCTACAGAAAGTCCAAAGAAACCTAGTATTTTTAATCATGCATCCAGCCTGGAAAGGAAAGCAGCCCGCTACCAGATTTCCTCAACTGCACGGCATTTTAGAAATGAATAATCTCTATTTCCCTAATCATTATGGTCAAGGATGATCATTTTGTCTGTTTAATAGGAGGATATTGCAACTCCTTCCATTACAGCTGAAGTTTCCCAAGACAAATTCCTCCAGCCATTTCAGTATCATTTGCCTACTACCGCTGCAAATGATATCCACTTTAAAAAAATCCACTTGGTGTTCCCTTTCTCCTTATATCCTGATGTTCTGGCAAAAGATTAAAACCTAAAACTCACATGCCATGACCCACATAAGTTTTCTCAACTGTCTCCACACACGTCATTAGCTGTATCACAATGTCCCACCTGATTCATCATAAAAATCTTGCTGCAGATGAGCTGTTATAACCACCATACACACAATTTGTTTATACAGAAATATAAAATCAAGTGAACAGAGTAGGTGCACAACACTGATTTAATAACTGTTAAGAGACTTCTCCAGACTGCAGTCAAGCCTCAGTCATTCAGGTATTGGCACTCCAACAATATGTTCACACAGGTATAAAGCAATAGTGTAGAAATACATGTGAAAGAACCTTGCCTGAATACCTGTACTTTAAAGACTGAGTAACTTTTGGCTACATAGTATGCTTCAGTTCTTATGGAGCAGTGTAATTATTATTCACCAGAAAAATATTAAGTGCTGTTTTCTAAGGGGAGGAGCATATTTCTCCTCCTCTGCACTTCCCCTTGAAAATGAGATGAGGGAGAAGGTGTTCCAATAACCTGTATGAAAGTTAAAAGATGGTGACTTTCATCCTCTCATGTGGTTCTCAGCTATCACAGAAGAGGAAACTAGAAAGAGAAATCCAAAATGCTGCTTCCATTTTTGGAAAGTACCACCTAAGAATTAAATGTATGCAAAAGTTTGCATGTCATTCTTGTCTGGAAAATTCAGCAGAGTTCAGAAACCCCTGCTGAAGGTAGGGGAAAGTAGAGAAAGTTAGAGAAAGTATGCATCATGAAAGCCATTGTTCGCAAGAAACAACTACAAATAGCAGTAGTCATTTTTTATAGCATGTAAATTTGCTTCCACAATATTTTATTACATTTTAAAAAGTGTGCTAACACAGGTCTTGCTAGGAGAAAAACTGACATTATATTACTAAGACTTCCTTAAAAACAAACATTTTCAAAGCACTGACACTACAGAAATCATTATGGGAAAAAAAAAGAAATCACAACACTGAAACAGCATTATGCTAATAACCAGGGGGGCAGAAATATTTATTGCCTTTATCTGGGAAATAATTTACAAGGAAAAAAAAACCAAAAGCGCCCATTCTCCATTCCATCATGATGGTGAAGTTTGCAAATATTGTAATAATGGGCCAAATTCTACCTGCACTTTCTCCTGAACATTGATAATAAATCATTCAGGAGGAGGAATTTGACTACATGTGTTATAAACAACATTAAAGAGGTAACATTTCAACCTTCATCTTATGCTCTTCCCTTTCTTAGCTGTTTCCTCCCAGCATCAACAAATGGAATAGTTAAGAAAGTTAAATTATGCCTAAGAACTTGTCATCAATATATGGCAAATATTCTCAGTGAAAAAACACAGACCTAGTCATGAAAGTAATGTTTTACGTGTATGAAGTGATGCAATATTAGGGTCTAAAACTAGACAATGAGGACATACTGCACTGCTCAGAAGGGCTGACAATTTCAAGATCACTTAATGATGAACAGGACTTATTTGAATGAAGTCTTGGGACTCACTCGTTTGAAGGAAAAATCTAGAAAGAGGTCAAACACTCACTTTTTATTGACTTCTTGGAGAACTAGGAAGCACGTGCAGCCAAACTGTTGGCTGTGTTAAGTCATTTCCAAAGTACATCATGCATAAGGACTACTGGCGTGGGCTTGTGGGTCTGACTTTTAGTTTGTAGATTTACTGCTATAGACTGAGATAATGATAAAAATAGCATTAAAAAGAGCTTGTGAAATGCTGCAAGTAAAATAAATACATTTAAAAATACATTTTAAAATTAGTGTTAAAAGAAAGTCCAGAGAGCCTACAAACACTTTTTCTGTTTGGACTCCTACCTAATATGGTGAAAAAAATAACAGAGATGAATGTCAAACATGGTTTGAATGACAAGATTTATAGTGTCCGCCTCATATTACCTTTCAGAGAGGCAACAAATAGTCCTTGCTGATCTGCAGTTAATCTTACACTATGGACTGAGAAACCTACCAACGCTAATAATAGACTGTGGGCACTGCCACCGATAGCTCTATGCTGAAAGACACTGCGAAACCAATGTTAAAGAAAGTATAAAACAGCTCCCATATTGGACAGACTGTATCATTAATTCACCAGCAACTGTCAAGGAAGTGACAAAACTGCATCATCATTACAATAAATCACATTCATGGTTACCTGGTAGATTACAACCCGAAATTTGTTTTTTTTCAGCATCTCCTCTTGTTTTGCTTCAACCTTCCGTACATTTGCACTCTGCCTTTCCACGCGTGTCCTTACTTCTTTAACAGTGGAACTAACTTTGCGGGTTTTCTCAAGCAACTTGTTAACTGTATAACCTGTATTGCCATGAGCCTGGGCAAGCTTTAAAATATCAATCTGTATGGTCTTGATTGCATTTTCCATCTCTCTGTGTCGCTCTTCTATCCTTTTCTGGCTTGCCTGCACACTGTCCACAATGTTGGCCACTTTATCCAGGACTGTCACAATTGTATAAGCTGCATCTTGTTCTTCTTCATTGTCTGTGACACTTGACAGACGATTTTGGTGGATTTTGTCAGCCTCCAATATAATTTCACGGTGATCCATTTTGCCTCACTTCAGGCAGGTCTTCAGGAGCTGAAGTTTAAATGTTCCCTTCAACAGCCGTTCAAATCCTGTCATAACAATTCTGGCACTTACTGCAAGAAGCCAGCGTGACAGCTGGTCTCAGCAGCACTCAAACTAGGGCGTGCAACTCCGCTCCTGGAGGTGGGTCAAATATTCATGACTACAAAATATCCACACATGATTGTTCAGATACTTTCAGCAATATGAAACCTCTAAAATTAGGAAGCAGGGTCTGGAAAGGAACACATATTTAAAGGGTCATGCTGTACTGATGAAGTTATTAGTGTTAATCCAGGAAAGTTAAGTAACTTACCAATTAAGCAGGAGAGCAAACTGGCATGTTTTAAAAGATCTACTTGTGTTTTCATGTTACTGAAGTGCTTTCCTCTGGGGGAATTCAGTGCTCAAGAGAGTAAACATAGCTGTTTTTCAATCAAAGTAACTTCAGTCTTCAGTCTGGTACAATTACCACAGCAGGTAACAAATAAACACACTAAAACAAACATTGTATTGTGACATGCTTTTCCAGTTCAAAATGTTGAAAGCATTTTTTATTGAACAAATTATTCAATCCTACATGCGGAATTTTGAAAGCCTAAACTACCTGCTAAACATCTGAACACACCCTATTTGTATTATGCCTCTGGATCTTTCAAACAACAACTGACATTCTATTAATATAGCTACGACCAGCAGACTACTTTGGATGTACATTTTTAGCTCTTGAAAATACAAGAGCACCAATAAAACACTATAGAATCTCTATTGTGTTAAAGGTGTTAAAACATGTATTTTCTTCAGAAAAGTTTCCGACGTATTAAAACAACTTCAACAGTGATAAAGTAGGCTTTATTTCAATTATTTGAATTCAGTTATTCAACACCAATTTTTACAGTACCTAAATCTACTAAGACCTACCTCTTTTGGACCGTGCCATCTGCTTTACCAAGTAATTTCCCAAATTATGAAATGTATGATTTTCCTCTTTAAAAATAAATTGTTGGAATTATTTATGAAAATGGTAGTGTTAGACCCAGTCCATACCTTTTAGAAATATATTACAACTACGCACAGCACAGTTCATGCGATAGGCAGTGTCTAAAAAAAAAATCAGTAACTAACTTCCAAAAACATTTAAATATCTACGGTATTTAAACACAGTGTATTCTAGTTTCTCATAAGAAAAGTTAAGCTGTAAACATTTTTACCTTTAGTTCATGCCTTGTTTGCTAGGTAACATGGACATTTTGTTGTTCTGCTTTTTAATCTACAACCATTGGTGAGATAAGTCTGTTTCCCAAAATATTACAATCCATGAATAAAGCACAAGTCTATTATATAACCATGTGATACAAATACAGAAAATGAACTACTGTATTCAAAAACATAAAAGTAAAATTTCTAAAACAGTCCATAGCTGTTAGAGCTGATGCTTTCAGAAAACAGACCAACATTGTTACATTAAAAATGTTCAAAATAAGGCCTCTGAAATAAATACTTTCATTCTTTAAAAAAAAATATAATAAAAATGTACATCACATGGTCAATGTAGGTATAAAAATCACTAAGTTAAACCATTCTGGATGATGTATCTGAAGTAAAATGGCCCAGATTTTGTTTCTGCCGACGTCCTCTGTTGTTTTTAGGGCATTTTCTGTTTAGATAAGAAAAAAAGGAGAAAGAAGTAGAAAAGATGTTTGTACATATGACACGTAAAATTTAAATGAGCAATCATAAATTGACTTTATGTTGTATACAATATAAGAAAGAGTACCTCAGCTGTGCTGACTAGGGGAATATTTATGCTGTTTGGTACCAGACTGACGCCTAAGTCACCTGTGGGAATCAAGATGTCCCTGAAGGGAGGGTTGCTTGAATCTGAGATTGGGAACAGCAAGGGACTAGGTTTTTCAACCTTGATCCTGCATAACACCTACTGCTCAACTAAGTATCCTGGCATTACTTTTTTGCATCTGAAATTCAGCACATGGTAGGACTGTTGCTGGATCAAGTCCAGGGAACCAGATTCTTCATTCATCCTTTGCAGTATGTGACTTTCAAGTGCCTTGTTGCTTACTGGCACTTAAAACGCAGAGCCCACCTTGCAGAATTTCTGTGAGAGACTCAGACTTCCTATTTTTGAGGCATGGTTATAAAACTAAGAAAGAATTTATGAACGCCAGCAATTCTGAGTGGACATGGACTTAGTACTTCAGAGAATGAGCAGTGCAAAGCAGAGCAATTCTGACCTTTGTATGCGAGCTGTTGAGGAGGACTCCTATGAAAAAGGAGACTGCCTGACCTGCAACAGCAGGGTATTGGCTAAAAAAGGATGATCTTAATTCCATGGGATAAACATGTCTTTTATATGTGCAGGAAGCATTAGATTTGTTCAAGTATACCTGTTCAAATACACAAGAGAGATAGGGAATTCTGCACAAACAGGATTATCTAGGAGATGGTGCACAGGATAATATCCAGGAGGGTTTTGAGTATCTCCAGAGAAGGAGACTCCACAAGCACTCAGGACAATTTGCTCCAGCGCTCAATTACCCTGAGAGTCAAGAAGTTTATTTCCTCAAATTGAAGTGGAACTTCCTGTGCGGCACCACTGAAGAGACCCTGGTCTTGTTCTCTTGACACCTTCCTTTAAGATATTTATAAATGCTGATCAGATCTCCTCTCAGCCTTTTCTTCTCTAGGCATAACAGGCCCAGCTCTTTCAGCCTCTCCTCACATGAGAGATGCTCCAGTCCCCTCATCACCTTTGTAGCCCTCTCATGGACTCTTTCTCACAGTTCCATGTCTCTCCTGTACTGGGAAGCCCAGAACTGGACACAGCACTCCAGATGTGGTCTCACCAACATTGAGTAGAGAAGTAGGATCATCTCCCTTGAGCTGCTGGCAGTGCTCTTCCTAATGCACACCAGGATACCATTGGCCTTCTTGGCCACAAGGGCACACCACTGGCTCACGGTTAACTTCTCTGCAGAGCTTCTCTCCATGAGCTTCTTCTCATGGTTAACATGTTCTTCTCTGCAGAGCTGCTTTCCAGCAGGTCAACGCCCAGCTTGTACTGGTTCATGGGGTTATTCCTCCGCAGGTGCAGGTCCTGGCACCTGCCTTTGCTGAACTTTGGGAGGTTCCTCTTGCCAAACTCTCTGGTCTGTCCAAGTCGATTCATATTCATTCATATTGAGTGTCACTGAGCTTGGAACCGTGTGCACTAATGCAGTAGCAGAAAATCCTATGAGCCTACAAGTGGAACTTAAAAAGTGAGGGAAGAAAAGGAAGATTTGAGGAGGTAGATGTAAACTGTGGCACTGATGCCCAAATGCAGGATAGAAATGCTTCCTCCATGTCCTCAAAGTTTTCCTTTGAGAACTTTACAAATGTCTAGTTCAATGGGATGGAAGTGGAGAACCTTATCTTCTATAAGATGTTATCAATGCTTGAATTTAGCTGACCTTTAATTATAGCTACAAGGCTGATCTGTTCTGCTAGGTATTTAGTTTGGTGATTCAGGGTGATCACTGGTAGTTTGTGAATTTAAATTCATGTATGTTGTGTAATATAAACTGGCAATATGATTTTGCATAAACATTCTACTCAGCCATTAGGTATATTTGGTTTGGATATTTCTAAATATATGCTAAAGCACATAAGACTTCAGGAAGATCAAATATTTAAGTACATAAAGGATATGTATACATACAATATGTAATATTACACTGGCTTTTCATTTACGTACCTTGTTATACACATTACGATGGCAACTATAATGGCAATCTGTACAGCTCCAATTATTGCTGCAATAAGGACATGTGTAAGCTTTTGTCTACTTGGGACAACGTAAAGAATGCTAAAGTCTGTCTTTTCACAGTGCTGTCCAGTATATCCTGATTCACACCTGAAAAGAAAATGAATATTTCATGTAATATATATTTTGACAACAGTTTAGTCATTTTTCAGGTAAATATAGAGTCCAGTATGTGGGACAAAGAGCTCTGTAACCAATGAAAATGTGAAAGATCAAGACTTAAATGTAAGGTTTGGAGAACATTACAATGACAGTAGGAAACGTCCATCAGTGACATCACTGCTATATCAGCAACTCAGAAGGTACTACTTTCTGAAGTCTAAAATGAAACTTAAAAAGCATAACTATAGAAAAGAGCTCTTCTGAGATCCTGTCTGTTCTATGAATGAGCAAAGCAGTGGAGATGGCAGCTGAAATAATCATTGGGAAGGCGGACGTGTGGCAGGGCCTGGATTTGAAAATAGCTTGGATTCCTGTGTCAGAGAAGAAACAGTGGATATGCTCCACTTTTCTGCATAAGGTATTAGTAGCACTCACTGAAAGTCTTCATGACTCTGATTTGGTGCAAGAATATGTCGGGTAAATTTTATGAAGAATAAAGAAACTAAATGAACAAGTAGGCGAACTAAATGAAATAACAAAATATATTCATAAAACTCAACTGGAATATTGATAAAAGTGAGGAATGAAAAGGTGGAAAAGAATCCTTGAAAAGTGATAAAAAAACAGAACATGCTTTTTCAAGCGTCAGCCTTCAGAAAAATGGAATCCTGTGAAACCTACCGAACAAGACTAGCACCAAACCCCATTCTGCCCTGTCCACAAAACCAAGTTTTCTTCATTTTTCTCTTTCCTAAGCAGCAATTAACCAAAATCAATGAGACTTTCAGGCCAAATGTGCTTCACAGAGATCAGGTTTTTGTCCTTGCCAACTGCACAGGAAAATCATGAACACTCAAACCTGGATAGCTAACTTAAATGAATCCCGCAGTTCCCTCAAGGAAAACAGAGCTACCTTGAAGGAGGTACTAATAGGAGGGAACCCAAAAGCACAAAACTGCTTCAGTGAGAGTTCATGGAAGAATCCATAGAAATTTGCTAAGGATGGTCAAAAAATGGTAGGAGGCAGAACAGTAGTATCTTTCCCGAGCAAACCAGAAGCTATTTCAATGGGAAACCCAACAGAAGCTCTTCCTGAGCAGTCATGTACATTGAATGCAAGAAGGGCTAGTGGTGAGGACACCAATGCTCTGGAACAATTTTCAAGGGAAAGAAAAAAAAAAAGAGAGGTTGCAACACAACAAGGAAAAGCAAGACCCAAGCAACCCAAGACACTGAGCTGGAGTCTGCACAATCAAAGGCCACAGCTTACAATCCTCCAAGCTGTCTAAATTTTTAATCTCTTCTCACCAGTTTGGGCAAAGAGATGAAAAACTTCAGTTTTCATTTTGAAGTATGAGCCTGTAACTGTTCATTTTAAAGTAAACATGTGTTGTACAGTTATCCTTTAAAATGATAAGTTTGTTGTATAGCTATCTTTTAAAACAGATTGATGTGAATTTATCCTTAAGGATGACTGACTCATAACTGGCTGCTAGTTCTGAATTAGTTGGAGACAAATTAAGTACGTGCAGGCAGAGAAACAATCCTATTTTAAACAGGATCAAATAAGTCTGTATGCAACACAGAATCAGTCTCATCTATCCATAAGCTTGGTAAAGCAAGACAGGAACTAATTCTGGTTGTAGAAACAAAATAATTGCTCCAGAGACCTTTCTATGACTGCTAATGCAACTCTTAATCTCCCCTTGCATTCAAGGAAGAAGTGTAGGGGTTTACATGTTCAAAGTCTTATGACTATCTTCTTAACCATGAGATTCTGTATTTATAGATATTCTGTAAATATCTATACCAAAGACATTTTGGGTTCCGATAAGAATCAAGTTCCGATAAGAGCAGGGTTATTAAAGAAAAAAACAAATTTGCTGTTAGTGGACTTGGTATTCACTGTGAAAAGAAGCAAGATGTGCTAGCAAGAAAAAGGAAGAGGATGGGGCACACTGCTCATCATTCAAAAAGTAATAATAATAAGGAGGATCTATCGCTCGCAAAGAGGACTGAATTCTCACTTGCTGCTTTACTTTTATTTTCTTTGAAGAAGATAACAAGAGTCAATGTGAGAACTGCTTTACAGCACAGGAGGCAAAACAAAACAAAACAGAGGAAGCACAAATAGTTCAAGGTATTGCCCCAGAAACACTAGTATGATAGGAAATTATTTCTGAAGAATATTGAGAGGACATTCAGGAGTACAGATTTCTTGCAAATAAGAGATGCTGGGATGGAAATACTAGGCACCATTTTAAGTTACCTGCTAAAACAACATTAAAAAAAAATCTTCTGCATAAATATAAAGCATGATAAACAGAGGACAGCATGGCTTTACCAAAGCATGCTATTCAGTCAATTGATTGACTTAGCATAATGAAGCTATAGATTTATTTGCAAGGAAGTAAATTTACTGTGTCTTCTTGATGCAGCCTTCTGTAAAGACAGGACAGAAGGGGGATGCACCAAGCAACAGTCCATATTCCAGCTGTACAAAAGTTGCTAAGCTAAATACCATGCAACTTACTGTAAAACCTTGCTCCCTTCCACTTGCTCTCAGTTCTGCAGGTTGCTGGGCAGTGAACAAGACTCAGTGGCCAGCTGCTGGTGAAAGTCAGAATTTGCACTGGGCAAACTGCACTTTCTGCAGTTCTGCCACTCATTTAGTACATCACTTACATCACTACCAGAAAAGGAGGACCAAAATAAAAAAGGTACCTGCTAGATGCATTAAGAATGCAAAGTACTTAAATAGAAATAATCTGCCATTGGCATTTATTCATTATATTTTCCTTGTCAGAGAAAGATATTTTTTTTCTTTAGTAGAAGTATTTGATATAAATCATTTTGATCCCCAAATAACTCAATGCTACAGTAAGAAACATATGCATATAGATATGAGACTATGAGTATTTAAATATCTCCAAAAATCCAAAGGAGATTTAAGACTTGGAGGTCAAGAACAAGCAGTCAGAAATTCTTGCCTAGAACCAAGTGAGATTTATTGTGATGGGTCCAGGCTGACTTACTGTTCAGGCTTAAATAACCAAAGGCTTAAATAAACAAAAACATACACAGGCCACATTCCCATTCACCTTGACTCCCTGCAGCAGTCCTAGGACTCTCCTGCTCCTCTTTTTTCCCAGGTTCTCAAAGATATTTTATTATCTTTCTCTATTCACCGACGTACTCAGGCTTGTGAGCCATCAGGTTTTATGCTTTTCTTATGGACAGTTATCTGTGTCTGGGAGTCTGAGCCCTTCCTAGAAGTGCTACCGGCCTCATGACTGCCCACAACACAGGACACAGTTTCTGCTTAGCAATACACAAACCACTACATTCTATGATTATGTTTAAAGAGCATTTTGATAAAGTTTTACAATCAGTTCAAGAATACTCCATGGGCATTCAGGACTTACCGGCAGGAAGCCTTCTGAGTGGAATAAATGAATTCACATTTTCCATGTATACAGTAGCCATTGAAACTTTCTGAACAAGGTATGTGATTTCCAATGTAAATGTCTTCTCTTTGATCACTGGCATCTTAAAAAGAAATATGCATAAATAATTGTAAGATCTTAAAGAACTGAAGATATTTAAAAACTTGTAGTGGAGAAAGGAATATATAATAATAAAAAAAAGGCATAAGCATGAAGCTTCAGAGATGCCTACAGAGAGTTGTTAGGATGTATTGCAATGAAAACATTCCTCGGAGATATCTAAATATGTTTTTGTCAGTTTTGTTGAAAAGTATTTATGACACAGAACCAATCCAATGATGAACAGAAGTTTTGTGAGCGGTACTGTGGCAAGAAGCTAATATATAGAGACATAAAGGTCTGCCCAGCATTTTAGCAGAGTAAAAAAACCTGAAGGGAAGAAAGAGGTAAACTACATTTGCTGATTCTGGGCAGAGGACAACATAATAAAACCCTGACCTGACTGATCTAACCAGTCACAATAACTGAGTTCAAACACATGAAAATAGTTGCATTGCAGAAACATTCTGACGGAAACTTACAACTATTGAAGTGGGCCTAAGAGATTAATTATTTTGGCAGACAGCCCCCCATGCTCCAAGATCTTTTGTATAATTGCCAAATTACGAAAACTAACAAAAGTTTTGTACATTTTCAACCATACTTTCCCCTATTCTGTAACAAAGTCATAACACAGAAGTTTGCATTTGGTTCTAAAATTCTCTGAAGTGCAGAGATCCAAAAATATGAATGCAATACTGCATTTGTGGAATTATGTTCATTTTCATGGCATGAGACTACAACACCACAAATAAAAGATGATAATGAACTGCAGGTGAAGAGGAAAAGGTGACCGTAGAGAAGAAACCACTTGTACAACTGCAGTTATTTGAAATAACACCAGAAAGGAAAGAGAATGTCTTATTCGGCAAAAACAAAAAAAGGTCTGTTGCTGTTTTAGGTTTTCCCTGAACATTTTCTATTATCTTTCCTAATTTGTTCCAAGAAAAATCCATATTTTAAATGTTAGAGCTTATAGAGATCAGGAAAGCTTGAACTTGGTTCAAATTATGCATCAAAAATACAAAAGACTTGCTATATTGGAAGAATATTGCCCAGTGCTAACACACATGTTAAAAATTCCCCTATGGATTAATGGAATAAACTATGTTATTTCCCCTGGGAGAAATACAGGAACGTAGTCAGGGAATGCAGAGATGCGACAAGGAAAGCTAAGGCGCGGTTGGAACGCAATCTGGCAAGGGACGTTAAAAATAACAACAAAAATTTCTCCAAATACATTAACAGCAAAAGGAAAATCAGGGAAAACGTGGGTCCACTGGCGGATGGGATGGGCACCCTGGTTACAAATAACACAGAAAAAGCAGAGTTGCTCAATGCCTTCTTTGCTTCAGTGTTTACCAAGGG